TGGGCAGGTCTGATCACATGTTCACGGGTGATGAGTAGAGAAAGACTAAACATTAAACAAATATGGCACCAGATGATGTTTTCATCCCACTTTGCTCTGATTTGAACGAGTAATGACTGCCAATGGAAGATATCATTTCGGTTTAGCTCCGTGAACACTGTCTGATGCTGGATTTTGTTAGTCTTGCATGCTTGCTTTTCAAAAGATAACAGGGGTAATTCCCTCTTGAAAAATAGCGCGGAAAACGTGTAACAGCATGAAATTAACCAAAATACATGCCTTTCTTCGGGTGCAATGTTACCTTGACCACAAGACGTTCATCATTGAACACCAGGAAAAGACATCCCACTCCGTTTGCAAGTGCCGACTTTTGTTCGCATCCACATAAAAATGCGCGGGATGATGCGCGTGCTCCTTCCCCAGCGCAAATGCGTCCCAAATATTTTCTTCTGCACTGCCTTGTTGCTTGTCCAGAAGTAATTCGATGTCATCGGTTTGGAAATAAAACTTACTTCCATTAGGGAGGAGCACGGGTCCTTTGTGAGAACATGGAACGCATAGGACTCTCGATATTCCCATGCTTAGCATCATAAACGGTGCTCTTGGTTTGATCATGAAAAAGCAACGCGCGCTGCACTGTGTAAATTGTTGAAACATGTCACGTTTTGCAGCATGTCAAAGTGTTCGGGACTCTTCCTGAGCCGACGGAGAAACAAAACTGTAAACAGGTGGAGCTCTTTGACTTTCAGTGCGTGACCGTTGACCCTAATTGGTGCACACAGTATTTTATTTATTTATTTATCGTGCGTCAATGTGGGCTCCACTGAAACGACTGTCACCAAAACGGTGTCATACGGGCTGCCAAGCGGTCGTCATGACGCAAAATGCGTTGTCATTTTCAAGATATAGGATGCCCGCACTGCACGATGCTGTAAAATACATGCAATGACCATACACATTCCACAATACAAGCAAATGGCTAAAAAGCATACCGAGATCGAACGTGCAGCCTATTCCGGGCAAGTTATTTCAAGGCCATTCAGGCACGCGTGACGCGATTGAATCGTCTTTCAAATTCGGCTGCCACCCCCTTGACCACCCATTGCTCAAGCCCAGCAGTGATAGAATCGTAGAGCTGTTCATATCTTCCGTCCCCGAGCACGATTTCCAGGTACAACCGTCGGCAACTGGTTCTTAACCCACGCTGTGCAGGCCGCGCAAATTTCAATCACGTTTTTTGCTACACAATGCAAGAAGGTGGACATCGTTACTATTTATTACGGAAAAAAGACTTGCAATCAGATAACTTGAAAATGGTGTCATAACCGAGTATGGGAACGTAAGTCAACAACTTGAGCTCACGGATAAATATGCAAGAGCACCATAAATAAAGGCCTGAGCATGGCACATAATTATATGTGGCTCAGCTTGGCCACGTCCACACCTCCAGCGTCGCCATGGCAACCGCTAGAGCGATTGAAGTACTTTAAGCGAGTGCATTACAGTGCTAGCTTGGCAGGAACTCAACGTCATGCAAATGCTTCATGACGCAATGCAACAATAACGTACTGAGGACCGCGGTTTCTACACAGGAAGACTTCGTCGTCTAGAGCAGTGTTTTCCACTTACAAACATATCATTAGCTATAAATGACCTGAATGCATGCTATCTGATGCTGGCTTTAATGTCTTCAAATGTGGAGTACTCCCTTTTAAGGTTGAACGGTGCATGCCCTTGGTGGATCAGTCTGTGGATAAGGGTCAATCTCTTTGTCGAATGATCACGGTGAACGGCATCTGGCTGGGCCGACGGCGTGCTTCAATGATGTGATCGAACTCCTTTTTTGCCACAAGGTGCGCTGCAAAACTGAGGGCTTTGTCGCTCCTGTGGCACGAGAGATCTGCTGGTGGAGCCCGGTCCGACAAACAGTAGCTCATATGAGGGAAGCACCAGAGCTTGGACCAATTTTTTTGTGAGCGTAGCAAGAGTGCTGCTGACCTTTTTATGGTGACGAAGGTTCTGGAGCAGCGCTGCACGACCTTTGATGTCGGTTTCCGTGCTTAAATTTGCATCGAAGGCCAACCAAAAATTGTCATGTGATCAGCTAGTTTAAAAAAGTGCTATCAAAAGTCACCGTGCAGCTTGAGGCTTTTTGACGTTATATTTTTTTCTGGAGAGGCAACTCCTAAATTGTCATGTGATCAGCTGGTTTCAAATAAACACTATCGAGCGTTTCTGTGAAGTTTGAGGTTTTTTTCGGTGACAGGGCATGTCTTACTTGTTGGGATTTGCTTTTAACTCGTTATGCTTGAACCACGTGGACAGGATGGCTAAATCACTTTCCATGTGACAACTGAGTCCGTTCAGATCAAATTGCAGAGAGGCAATTACCTGAGGTGCCAGTCAGTTGATTGGGGGATATTCGTAAGGCATCAATGTGTTGTGCGGTATTCGGAAGAAATTTAAGGAGGTGACATCTTAGTGCCTTGAATACGTAGCTTTAGAATTTGCTGCACGACATTTGAGATAAACTGCATATTTTACAAACCTGATCTGTGCAGAGATGCCAAGCATGTCTGCCAAATCACGATATTTTTTTTTTGGCAAGATGAGCTGGAAGCTTTGTTATGACCATGGTCAACCTTCAATATACCAGGGGAGTACTAGTTAAACGACGTTCCAAGCAGGAATTCGGTATGATGAGAAAGCTAAGCAGGTGATCTAAGTTAGTTAAAATCTAATTAAAAAACACACATGAGAGGAGAAAAGCACAAAATATGTGCAGGCACTGATAGTGATAGTGAGAGTGGGCAGAGGCGAAGTATTTAATAAGCTGAGCTTCTACACCCTAACATACAGCACTACCCTAAGGAGTACATCCAGGGCATTGCACGAACATCGGTCGAACAACGACGGTCGGATGATATCCTAAGACTATGTTTGTATGGGTAGGTCCGGACGAAGGTCACCAATGTCCAGCGATTACAATATTCTTAGGTCAGTGTCGTCCCCAACTGTTGCTGTTAAAGTTGGAACTTGTTGCGCTAATGCTCCCCCCCCCCCCCCCCCCACGTCGGTCCCCGACGTGCTCAATCAATGGTGTAAACTTTCTCCGCAAATGAGCATCGCGAATAATGCGTAAAGCTGCTGTTAGTTTAATCATTGCCATCACATAATGCCATAATGCATCAATTTATCAAGACCTTTCTTGCTGCTTTCAAACATTATTGACAAACGGCATTTTCACGAGTTATATCGGAAGTCGAGTCTGAATTTCTCTTATCACCGTTTCCGCTTGTCAGCAGTACAGACAAGGGCACAATTAGAACTATCCACCAAACTATATTTGGCATCGCTTGATAGCACAGCGTACATATAGCATGCCGAATCAAACAACTACGTCTACCAGTGGATTTGGACGTTCCAATGCTTCCATAACAATAGGTACTTGGCACAAGGCTAAATGTACAAACATCACATTTTGCACCGACATATCGCGCCTAAGCATTACAACTTTGATTAAGCTTAAGATGGAGTTTATCTGAATAAGTTCGCATCGCTAACATTTCGTGCCGTCGCACCACGAGCACTAGCTGCACTAGGTGGTGCCACCTACACCAGGCAGTGTCCGGCGCACCACGCGGCGCTTGTCGCATCAAGCAGGACCAGTCCACTAGGTGGCACCAACTGTGCCACCAGCTGCACCAGGTGCCGCTGCCAACACCAGCTGGTGCCAACTGCACCAGGTGGTACCAGCACTGCCAGGCAGCACCGGGCAGTACCCGGTGACACCAGACTTTTTCACTTGTGGCTGGTGGCACGACCTATACCAGGCAGCACCGCCCATTGCATCACCAGTCCAGCAGGAGGTAGGAGGCGCCCGTGAGACCCAAGGCCCCCCACCTCAGGGTCCAGACGGGCCAGGGCGAGACGCTTGGGGGGGGGGGGGGGGCACGACGGTCTGTTCACAGTAGCAGCGCCAGCGCCGAGAGCAGCAGCAGCGCGGCATCCTCGCGTGTCACCAGCGCCAGCGACTTGGCTGGGGGCGGAGCGACAACGCGTCAGCCAGCGGCGCTGGCATCGCCACCGGACGAGGGGTGACGTGGATGTATGGAGAAACCGTGTGATGTTGTGTTCTTATGCTGAGTGCAGTAAACATGCATCATAACAGGAGCTGCTAATGAAACAAATACCGAGCGGATCGAAACCCGTATCTCTCGTTCTTAGACATGTATCTTAACTACTACGCTAACGGTACCCTAAACAGGCACCGGTAGCTCAGTACCGATAGTGTAATAACGTTTCACCACTGGGTCGAAACCCTGGGGTCAAGTAAAGCCAAACGAGGTCAAACTGGAGATATATGTCGAAAGTGCCCTCAGACTTTTCCACGCGATCAACTTGAGCCTAAATACGTTTTTCAGCCAATAGGTAGCTTGGAGTCATTATAGGTTAGTGCGTTATCTGGTCTACGCGGTGAGAATGAAAAAAAAATTATCTGAGATCGTTCAGGTAATTTAATTCAAAATCGTCCCAAAATGAATATTCTAGGCGGCAAGTTCATCAGAGCAAAATGTTAGGGTTAATATTCAGCATGCTGCATTCACACGGCTTCGCCCCATTAGTGGAGCGGCCCTCTGATGATAACAGAAAATGAACGAAGAAACAACTAGACAAACCTACGCTAGTGTCCAATATCCCATGCAAATACCAGCTGTGGACAAAATAGCCATGGTGGGTACCGTTAGGCGCATAACCTTATTCACTCCAAAAATGCAAGACATCCAGCATCAATTGGAACGAATGCTTTGCAATGACTGTTTTGGAATGGATATTTGTCAGCATGTCCTGTCACGAAGGCCGCCTCTATGACCACAGTAATCTAACTGTACCCTAATGCAGTTTGTGCAGGCACATTTTCAATGTGCCATAAAATGTCACGACACGGCTGCTCCTTTTCGGCCTGCATTGGCAAGCCGCCGAACGGCCGTCATGGACGGGGCACATCAGCCTAGTTGCTGGGATGCAAGCCCACGTGCCTGTCACACGTCTGACAGTGTCCCCACTTGGCTAGCTGAACTGCAGGCACGACCACAACTATTAGGTACCAGATATAGGAGACTTGGTTACTTCGGGAGGCAAAGGTATGCTCCAATGAGATAGCTCCCGCATGTCTACGGTCGTCTGCAATAGACCACCAACACATGCGTCCTGGACAGTGACGGATGGCTGGAACGGCAGCGCAATGGGCAGGACACCATGACCGCAGGACGGCCGTGCTGTACTGTGATCGGGCCGGCGCTGCTCGCTTCGCTCCCGGTCGTGGCGACCGCCGACGCGCGATCGCTTCTTCTCTGGGTCGCCCTCCTCGGCGGGGATGTAGATGTCGCCAGTGTCGCCGCCGTGCTCCCCTCCGCCGTCTGCCAGCCAGCGACACATGCGGACCAGGTCACAGCGGACTGAGTGCGGGTGAGCAGCCCCGCCTCCCTCCCTTTCCCTACATGGTATGGCAGGTGAACTATAAAGTAAGTGGGAAGCAGCAAATCCTCGACAAGCATATAGGCGATAGCGGTTCCACACCGAAATGACTACAGCTAGAATTGCTAACGAAAAAAGTCCCATCCCTGGTCCTAGATGAAGACGGCTATGCATACACCAGTCACACAATAAATTCTACGCGACATAAGGCTAACTTGGCAAAACTACTACGCATAAAACTGTCTCACAACAAAACTTCCACGGACAGAACTTGCACCATCAAAAGCTCCATGCCGCAATAATGTATGCACATCACGTTCCAATCAAAACTTATTGAATTGAAAACAAAGCTTTGCGTCATAAGTAATTATTATCGCCCGAAAAAGAACATTCTGCCCATCTGGCGTTTCTCAAACAGAGAAAGCAGCCTTTCGTGTCGTCCTAAAAGTTGCCAGAAGAAAGGGTTATCAGCGATATTATGGCGACATTTAAAAGCTTCGTTCATTAAAAGAAGCCTCGGGCACCGATGTGGCGCAGGGAGTATGCTAAGCATCGGGCATCGATGTGACGCAGGGAGTACGCTAAACATCGGGCATCGATGTGGCGCAGGGTGTACGCTAAGCTTCGGGGATCGATATGACGCAGGGAGTACGCTAAGCTTCGGGGATCGATGTGACGCAGGGAGTACGCTAAACATCGGGCATCGATGTGGCGCAGGGTGTGCGCTGAGCTTCGGGCATCGATGTGACGCAGGGTGAGCGCTGAGCTTCGGGTATCGATGTGACGCAGGGAGTACGCCAAGTTGATAAAATGAGCAGACTACGCTCCGAACGAATGTCGATGATTTCAATAAAATACGCGGCACCGTGAAGTACACGGCGGAAATAACTCAAAAAATGTATACGATTTTTCGACGCATCCACTAAACATTTAATAGTCCTTCAAGAACGAACAATTTGTTCGAGTTTACTTCGAGTTAATGAGCCTAGTCTAAGCAGGCTATCTTCCGAAGATATGGGAAATACTTTAAGAGGCATTCTCTGCTGACTCAATCACTGTCTAGTGCCTACAGTCGAGGAAAAAATTTAGGGCGTGTTTATTCCAAGTTAAGACAAGACAGGCGACCTGAACACGAAGGGTGTTAATAGGATGCTGCGTGCTTAAAATTATATAAGTTGCAGTTGGAGGAGCAGCTATGTGATTATGGGCGACCGGAAGTGGTAGATCACGTATGATAGATCTACTGAGTGTAACAGGTAAATATTCCTTACAGAATGTGGTGCATGGCATATACGTGCGTTTGCCACGTGCGTGACATTGATCCCTGTAGGCCTGAGTGCAGAACCATTTGTCTTCAACGTAGATCTAAACCTTACAATCGCCTTCCTAGTCCGACATCGCTTTTGTACACGAGGCAACACTAGTGAAAATGTGCAAGTCGTCGGATTTGGAGAGCACATGAAGACAACTTGTAGATTGCAAACGGATGAGGTGAAAAAGGGCTGCCCGGAGCAAACTGCCCGAGGTAACCTGCCCGGGGTAAGATCAAATTTGTATTTAGATGTTCACTTCAAAAAGGATTTAGATTAAACAAATGTATTGGAAGGCCTTTTTGATTACGATAACGTAGACTGAGGGCGGGGCGCCGAGATTCATCCGTTCCTTTTTTGGTAAGACGTGGCGAACAGCATGTGCATGTATGTTTCGGTGGAGGTGAGGTTTGTTCATGCTTACCAGGCTACCTATGTCTGCATTGACCATACTGATGTAGCCTTAAATGCAACTGAAACGTCATCTTTTTGCATTGTGTATGCGCATACACACACACACACACACACACACACACACACACACACACACACACACACACACACACACACACACACACACACACACACACACACACACACACACACACACACACACACACACACACACACACACACGTGTATGCATATATATATATATATATATATATATATATATATATATATATAGCACATGCGTGGACATAACACCCGCATTCACAAGAAATACGCTGGTTACGAAACGCGACCCTATTAGCCATAGCACAGACCATATATAAACAAACACAGACCATAAACCGTAGCACATGCAATAGACCATGGACGCCTCACACTGCTCGAAATATTTTACATCAGACATGCGAGCCAAATGAGTTCGACATGCAACACAAGCAATTTATACCACTTCCACTACAACATCCGACTCGCAAGTTGCCCCCCCCCCCCCCCCCGACACACCATCGTGATAAACAAACCCCCTCCGGACCACTACAGCATGTACTTGGTATGGTCGACATTGTGCATACTTTTCAACTGTTGGGAAGTGTGTCTCCCTCACGTCAAATTATACAGTTCACAAAAATGTATTTAGCGTGCATAGCGCAGAAGTGCAAAGATCAGCGAATATTGGGATGCTGTGTGTGTGTGACTACATGTGTGAGTACCGATTTCATGTATATAAATGACTTGATCCACAGTGTACAAGTCATGAAGGTACAATATAGTATTTGTGATTGGCCACGTGCACAGAATGCCAGCTCTTGCCTTCAGAGTGGCTGAGCCTAGTCCGGCATCGCCACAGCGCTGATTTACAGCAGCAAGACAGACTTTAATCAATCGGCCGCAGCTGGGCAATGAACTAACGGCGTCGGCCGACGGCGGGGCGGCATCCAGCCACTCCGGTCACGTGCCGCTCCCGTCAGCAGCGCTGGTGTCTGATCTACGGCCGAGTCCCCCTCCCTCCCCCCCCCCCCTCATCCCCTTCCTCCAGCTCACACCCCGGCGGGGCTGTCGGCCGGGCTGGTTTTCTGATTGTGACCGTATTGGCCGACACGCAAACAAGCCAGTCGGCTGGTACAAGCCAAGCCTGTTCCCGTCACCAAGGGTGCTCTTAAGGTGCGCGGGCGGGGCGAACCCAACTGGCGCAGATGTTGAACTGTACTTGCCATACTTTGGAGGATTATGTGCACCCTGGACTGAGTTGGAGAGCGAGTCAAGTCCGGTAATCTCTGTTAGGATCGGAGCGTTTGTCCAGGAGCATGTAAAGAGCGGCCCCACGGAGCGTGCTCCACCTGCTCTATCGAAGCCTGCGCCACCTGCTCCTTGCGGGACCTGCCGGCTGACGATATGTGCCGACGCCAATGCGCAAAAATAAATATAATTATGAATTTTCGAAGTGGTATTAAGCACAGACCAGTCGATGGAGGATATTATCCAAATAACTCTATATTATTAAAATAAGGGTCTATATTATCAAATATAGACCAATAATATAAAATACAGACCAATAATATTATCAAAATAAGGGTCGAACGTAAAGTACCACCACATGAGAGCACCACAAAGACCGCTCAGTAGCGCTGCTACCGTGGCAGTCTGATGGGGGTGTCCGACATTTGAGGTTCGGACCGCGGTGTATTGAGCCAAGCAAATGAGATCGAAATGGGTTTAACTTAACTGGGGCGAATTGAGGCGTGTCACTGTGAATGAAACGAAATGCTCACCGTTCATGCTTAATGTAAACATATATGCAAAGATCACTCCTCAATGTCATTCAGGTGTCTTGAATGGCAGTCACCGATTTTGAGGAGAGTGGCCATATTCATGCCTTTTAGCCGGCGTAATATTGCCCCATCCCGGATCCTTACTCAATTAGGTGTCCTTGCTCTTTTCTAGCTTCTCAACGCCAAAGATCCCATCTCCGTTACAGGAATAGTCAATATTCCCACCTCTGCGTGTGCTTAAAGAGGCCAATAAAATTATCCGGTAGTGATACCACGCTTGCGCAACTGCCGACCTTCCTGATCTCAACATGCTGGATCTCGCAGTAGACCTGAACTAAGATGAAATAGGCCTAAGGCGTTGTCTAGTCAAAAATATGATTTGATCTTGATAGACCTAATCAAAAATTCTTTTCTTTTCGGGCGAGATACGGTCTGAAGCGACATGCATTAACCCACATGCGTAGTTTTCGGTTGTTCTTAGGTCGCAAGCACAGCTTGTGTCAAGGCTCGAAGCATAACTCAACCGAAATGCTCTGGCAGTGTTTCGGGCTATATTGCGGGGGGCTGCCACTGCCTCAGGGGCGCTTACGCCATCTCAAAGACATCTATAATTCGTTTTCGATTTGGAAGTCGTTTTATATGTCACAACCACACTGGACGACTCCTTTGTCCCGACTGATGCCTCTTCGGCCCAGGGCCAGCCGGCGCCGCCGAGACAGGCCGACATTCTGAGCATGCCGGCGACCGTCCTGTGGCCCCAGGCCGGCACAGCAGGCACGGCGAGGGCTACAGCTTTTGTAACTGCATGGCCTCAGAGGCCCCGTCCGTTTTGAACGATCCAGCCTGCAGATGGAAAATGTTGGTACCCGCGCCCAGATGCCTGTTGCCCAGTCGATCTCTATGCTTTTTGAACGGTGCCTGGCATCTCCTGGGTTTCAATATGCTTTAAATGGGCCATGGCAGTTCAGCCAACCTCACAGCTATCCAAGTACCGTTGTTGCTCTAGATGGCTTTTGCCACTTTCTTAACATGGTACAATTGAATTCAAAACCTGACATGTAAGTCACCCTGTCGCTGATCTCCGTACCCAGCAAACTAATTTTCACACCACTGACTTCAACATCTGATCGCACCAAATCAAGCCTTCAATGATCTCTGCACCTCTGCTGTCAACTCATACACCGCTGACCTCCACATCTGAGCATACCAATCACGGGGCGAAACAAATAAGACCAATCAGTCTGATTGACAAACATGCCAAGTACATTGATTTAAATCACAACTGAACTGCCACTTTATCAAGTTCCTTCTTTTAAATCACTGGCTTTTCTCTCCTCATAACTTGCATTACCTTCTCCCTGTCGTCCTCTCCCTCGCACACTCTCTCTCTCTCTCTCATCTCTCTCTCTCTCTCTCTCTCTCTCTCTCTCTCTCTCTCTTCCCTTTCTCTCTCTCTCTCTCTCCTTCTCTCTCCTCTATCTCCCGCCGCCTCCCACTCTTCTCTCTCTTCTCCTCTTCCCTCTCTCCCTCCTCTCCTCTCTCTATCCCCTCTCTCTCCCACCTCTCCCTCCCTCCTCTATCTTCTCTCTCTCCTCCTTTCTATCTCTCTCTATCCCTCTCCCTTTCTTCACTCGCCCCTTCCTCTCTACTCTCTTCTCTCTCTCTCTCTCCCTACTATCCTCTCTCTCTCTCCTCTCTTCTTCTCCTCTCCTCTTCTCCTCTCTCTCCTCCCTCTCTCTCTTCTCTCTCTCTCCTCTATCTCTCTCTCTCTCTCCTCTCTCTCTCTCTCCATTCCCTCCGTATTTTTAATTCCCTAGCCCATCCCTCTACCTCTCCCCTTCCACCTCCCTATCCTTGTCTTCTTCCGCTTCCCCCCCACACCCGCCACACACACATTTACTCTATCCGTCTACCATAGCGTCGTCGCCTGCCAGACCCACTTCGAAAGGTGACGAGCTCGGTGGCGGCCGGCCATCGCGGGTACCCGGTCGTCGTCGTCCCAGCTGTCGTCGGCTCGACCATCTCTGTAACGCACGTGCCACCATCATTACAGTCTCAGCCAATTACAAATTACAAATGCGGTAGTTTTCAAGACAGAGGTCATGCGTGTAGTCCGTGCAGCGAAGCTTCCCCGTATCGATTGCCGGCTGATCATCATCAGTGCACTCCACGCTGGCCCTCGTCGGCCTCCATCCAGTGAAAACGCTGTGAGGCTTATGTGTCTAGCTCTTTCTATCCAGTAATCTACCGTGCAGTGCTGTCAAGGATCTTATGCATTCCTTATGTGTTTGACTTACAGGCTTGGGCCGTCCCTATCCTAGGATGACTATCGCCGATAAAACGTGACGGTTCCATGCACTTACGACTGAGACCAGCCTTCGGTGGAAAATGACGTGCAATGTAACAAGTTTAGGGCACGCAAGAGTTCATTCGCTTGGTTCAAATTACAAATACTCATAGTTTTACCGTAAAGAGTGATGACTCCGGTAACCTCTCCGATAGGGTTCTTGCAAACACAGAGGTATTTCCCAAAATCCGAGGCGTTCAGGTGTCGAATCTGCAGTACCATCTCAGTTGAGTACTTCATGCTTATCTGAAAAAGACACCAGCAATAAAGCATAGATGTACTAGTAAACTACATTCTTTGGCGCTTTTCACGCTTTCAGATACAACGCATGTGCTCCTCCCGAACGGCCTCTGCGAGACTCCGGGTATGAACGTCGCCCAGCGTGCCTTATGTCAAACTAAGCCAAATAGCGTTGCATCATGTGGTAACAGGTTTGATTGCAAAACTCGCTGCGTTCGCGCCTTCAACGCAGCGCCCATGAGCTTAGATAATGGGCGTCACCGTGGAGCCCAGCTGGGGCCCTTCAACCTTTCCTAGCACGTGTGAACATAACAGACCGAAATTAAGAAGCAAGCGTCCTCTTACGGATGAGTACCGATTAGGGTCTTTTCCTGAAGTCAGCTCACCGTTCGGATGTGGTACTTCCTGGACTTAATGATCAGTCCGTGCTGTTCCGTATTGTTCTTCATCCAGTAGAAGATCGGCCGCGGATGAGCCTCACTCCGGCACCGTAGCGTCACCGACCCGCCCACAGCACCACCCATCAACTGGTTCGACACCCAAATCATGGGCTTGACTGAAATCAGCATTGGTTCGTTACGAATGTTGCAAGACATTCCCATCCTGCTGCCGAATGTCAGTGTTGTTCGTTTTTACGGAAAGCTGCGGCTGAAAATGGGTCAAGGAGTTCTGTACATGGCATATCATATTAACAATCCTTTGACTTTCAGGAATGGCTGGTACTGACAACTTAACATACCCGTCATATTGGGGTCATTTTAAAAGTATATGCCTTCATCAAACCAAGGTTTCACTATCGTATGGCGTTTCAAACTGGCGCAGCCGCATTGCAGTCCACTTGAGTGACCTTACAGATATCTTCGCTGGCCATTTCCGGACTTCATACACTTGTCGAACAGTGCTCCGCAGCCCCCTACAATCTTAAAAGTGTTATGCAAGCCACGGGCAATTGAAAAGACGGCATCGGTGCATCTCTTAAAGCTGCATCATAGTAGTGTAATCGAACACCAGTGAAGGTGTCCTTCCGAACGGTCAGGGCGCCAGGGGAGTTGTAAAGTTGTGCCGTAGAAGTTGTGAATGCATCGCAAATTAGCAAGGCATGGTCACAGTATTGGACGTAGATCTCTACACTATCTACCGAGCAAACTGTGGGGTGTCACTGGGCACAGTGGCGTGGTATCGCACTTAGCACGCTTCATGATGCAACTTTTGCAAGCCAGCAGCGGGTGTTACATGTGGCACGTTTAATGACGTCATGCTGGTTAAGCCTAGTGTCCATGGACCCTTATACGTTATTTCAGGAACGAAGCGGCTTTAAATATCGACGCGAGCATCTAGTGGTGAGGCGGTATAATATAACCAGAATTAACTTTCCATCAATATAAGGCTTCATTTACGGTTGCGGTGGTTCTTCTGAGCCCTCCCCGTTCATGGATGCTTCAGGATATAACGGTTATGCCGAGAAATGTATTAGGTGTATTTTGTTGTGCCCACGCAGCATTGCTCCTTTTGCATTCACATTTGCTTATTGCCACCTCATATAGGTTCATCATACTGATAGTCACTCGTCTGAACACATGGATACGTGAACACCTATTCCGTCACTATATTTGTGCTTACTGACCTGAAAACCTTTGTGAGTTTATATTTCTGCTTGTCACAGCTTGCTTAAATCATGACATGTGAAATGATAAAAGGTTGCAAGTATCGTGGAAAGTGAGTACTGGATAATAGCGAAACAAGGACCACAGCAAGGAATCCAAATGACATTTGGACTCCTTATAAGTCTTCATGGGCTTTGAAACAATCCAGTGATGATTCGTTTGGGAACCCTAGCAGTAGTTTTTTAACGTGCACTTAGCTGCTGACCATACGCTGCATGCTTTGCCCTCATTTCATGGAAGAACACTCAGAAATTACTCAATCTGAAGGCAAACAAGACACTGAGAGTTATCGTTCAGAAGGACAATGGGCCTATTTCTTCCCAAATTTACTCACATTGCACGAAGAGATGAATTCGCTTACTGACAGTGGGTGGTACCTGAAACACATGCCGATGGAGAATGTATTGAGCATATTAGCAATAAAGGGCACGCTATCTCTGAGTTCTAACTTTCAAAGTGCATGACGAAAGCCCGACACGCCACGCACAAAGTGAGTCGCCGCAACACCGACCACAGTGAGTCGCTGCAACACCGACCACAGTGAGTCGTCGCAGCATCGACCACAGGCTATATTTTCTTAATCTCATGACAGTTCCGTTGCTGAGAAGGCAACTGGTGAGACGCACGGCAGAAGTGACAGAAAGCAGACAACAATGTTTGGGAACACACGCGCCAACGAAAACGCAGTTGACCGTCTTGGTAAACAAACTACAAATAAGCGCGGTGTGGCGCAAAAAAACGAAAGTGTTCGATACATCTCAGCATCTGCATATAGGACCGATGACAGGAGTTAGTTATAATCTAATTGAACTGTAACACATCCGTTAAAAGTGGCGAATTTAAGCTTATCAGCAGCCATTTGGATCCATTCGTTGAGTTCCGCAAGAAAATACGGCTAATAAACATGGATGACATCACGTATCAGCCAAAACTGGCGATCCTACCTTGTGACTTGACATGCTAAACGGATCCCGACAGCCCACCCTGCCTAGTTTTCTCCGTCACCTTGGTAAAAAACTACGGTATAATATGTTACCTATGGCGACCACCAAATAGTGAGGCATCGACTTGAAACTTTCGGTATTTTTACATGAAACGATAGTTTTGCAAAAAAAGTCAGATTAAGCCCAGTGCGGATCATGCCATAATTATGTCATAATCAGCGGTGATGCTCTTGCTGCATCATATCTTAACCTGATTTATGTGCGATTCCTCTGAAAAGACATAAAACAGGACAATATAAGTCATTTAGGGATGTCGAATTAGTATGTGAATCGATACCATAGTTTCAGTAGTAACTAGAGCCTGCTGGGTCCAGTCTTTCAGTCACACACAAAAATGCGGCTAATAAGCATGGATGGCATCCCATGATTAGTCAAAGGGGCAATCCTGCCTTGTGACATGACGTGCTCTTACTTGACCTAAATTCAATGGAGGCTAAAATGAAACATTTTTAGCGTAGAAATTTCAACGGACAAATGGTGTATGTAGACTGTGCATTTGCATTTTTAGATTTGACGTTGTCCTGGCTCCTTGATGTAGCGCAAGCTGCTTGGTGGGGAAGGAAACATTTGAAAATCAATCTGACCTGTAACGTTGTCCGTGCCCCAACATAATTATGTTACACTGGTAAAACGCTTGGCTTCTGATTTCCGTTAGATTCAGCGCGGTGGGTTCAATAGTTGCGAAGAAAGAATTAGTGGCAGAAACGTCAGCTGGTGTGCCAGACCAGTTGCTTCAAAGTGATAAAATACCGCAGTGATCGCCGGTTAACTGCACATTTGGATGTACACGGTCGGAGAGAGTGTACTGCCCTCCGATCAATGAGCATGCAACAGAACCAAAGCAGAGCTTCCGCGACACAGATGTGTGCCAGGGTACCCAAAGACCCGTCTTTATCTCTCTGTTCTGCAGCACGGTCGAGTAACAATACCTCGACAGATTCGTGCAAAGCTCCCTCTAATTTTACCACGTACGCCATTTCTGGCGATGCAGAGGTAGGGCCCCATGTCAGAGCGTGTAACATGGGTCAGGTTCAGCGTATTCCCTTCGATCACCGTCGGCCAGTGGGGATCGCCTTTACCTGGAACAAATATCGAATGCATCATACGGACGGGATTACAACAGTTACACTTCCGGGGTACACAAACCGATTCCGTGACACATACGCCTATCATATCCATGTCGTATCTAATAAATGGGAACCTCTGTCGTTTGATCTCTAGCACATCGAGAACCGTCGGAGGCAGACCCCCAAAGCCGTTCCGAATCAGTGCTGTGAGAGGAAGGTTTGCGCCGTGGTTTGGCCCAGGTCGGACCACTGTGTGTGGTGCGAAACGAGCAAACTTGCCGCACAGGGTTGGCATCGGCGACACCCGTCTCCGCGCCACTTGAAAGTCATAGAGCAGCGAAGAATATCGGCTGTCGCGTGCTTGTCAATGGCGAGCAGACGGATAGCGTGAAAACCAAACTATAACGTCCAGTGGTCCACACCAACACAAACTGAGTGACGGCTCCAAGAGAATTCCCCACGCGAATGTTCATCCGCGGCGCTACATAGCTACGGACAGCGTGGCGAATGGTAAGATGCAAGCAAGGCATCAGCAGAACAGGGCATCAACGGTGCATTTAAACGGCGACAAAATAAGCAGAACATTTCACCAACCAACTCCTGCAAGTGGGCTGTGCCCAGGTCCAAAACCATGGCAGTCAAATGAAACGTCCCTTCTGCGAAAACGCATAATTTTGTTTCGACCGTCCCTCTGGCCTCGGGCTTCCCGAGTTGGAAGAAAGGTACCAGGACCCAACCTGGCCTCAGCGAGCCAGACCATCCGGGCAGCGAAAAGCTTCGCCGCTGATGGTAATAACTGCAGGCCTCTGGAGCAGCAGTGTGGAGAGATATGGACCTGCAAGTCCCTGGACCGTGGACGCTCACCCAGAACCAGAGAAGCCTGTGAACTGCCCCTTGAGGCTTGGCAGTCTGAACCCCCGTAACTGCTACTACACGACTTGGTGTCCAAGCAAGACCCGCCCCCTCATGCACCTACGAAACAAGGCTAGTCTCCGAACATAACGGACCTCAGCCCGATGGAGCCAGTCCTTCCCTGGGGTAGGTCTTACATCGGCTGCTCCAGAGTGAGAAGCCGACCGGCTTGTCCTGTCGCAAGACGGCAAGGCCAATAATGTGCTGTACAGAAAAGCTCTGCAACCGTAATGTTTTTAGCACAGCAGGTCAGCTACGGCAGGACCGCAACGCACACTGGCTTTTAGCCTGCATTTGCCTATCGCCACATTGCGTCGTGCAACGTATCTGTTACTGTGCGCTCGACCCGTCCGCTGCCCGAGGTGCTTGGCCGGGTAAAGGATAGTAATGTACCTCGGAGGGGCGCATGATCCCACTGACTAATTGGTTGGTTAAACAACGGTTCATTAGAAGGGGGACCTGATCCGTTCAAGAGACGCTTTCAGGGTAATCAAAGCCTGTTGTGTAGCTGATGCAGATCGTATGTTGCCGTTTGCAGTTTTTAAAGTTAAAGATCTGGTAACGTGCTTTTATAGATCAAATTAACTGTATTGTTCCAGCCAATGATTTGTGTCTAACAATGTTGAAGCGTCCCCACTGTAAAATACAGGTGTGTATTTCTTTGCAATACTACCTTCTTATAGCCGAGCATTGCAAGTCATCCCAGATAGCATGTATATATATATATATATATATATATATATATATATATATATATATATGTAAAGGTGTTCACGACGTCGGCTTCGCTTCTGCTTCGGAAGTTTACAGGTTAAGAAGGTCAGAAGTTCAGAAAGTCTACCTTTCCTTTCATAACTTCGGGTTTGTCTTCGGCTCTCAGCTACATATCCACGACTGTCTTCCGCTTAAAACCCGGAGTTTTCTCAAAACATCCAACGATTTCTCAACAACGTCGCTTGATCAGTTTTGCCTGTCACAACTTAGGCCATTTACTTTTAGCATCAAACTCAAAACGTCCAAAATATGAAACTGAATGTTTTCCTTGGCCATATAAGTCGATACAGGACGACGTTTTCAACCAGTAAACCAACTTTCGTCCATTCCTTAAGCTTGATGAGCATATCTGAATCATTAGACCTCTACATTTCTGGGGCTTCACATATTGTAACTGAGCCTTTGTGAACGTCGGTTCTTAAAACCAGTTTTGAGTGGACCCATCGACTTTGTAATTTGCTATTCAACGAATTAAAGTCAATCAAGTCAATAATCTAGTCCGTGCTCCCCGAGCTTTCAACATTTGATAGTGCGTAGGTCAAAACGCAGTGAATGTCGGTTTGAGCGAGTACAACTTAAGATCACGCCGAGCCCTATCTACTTGTTATGTCTTAATGAAATTAACGCAGCTTGGCGATCCACACACATTTGATCTAGTTCTGCTCCTAGTTTCCCGAACGTGCTCCAGCCCAGACATTGCTTCATCAGTGCTGTCTTTGTCTCCGGTATGCTCCGGCTGTCATGACCACCCCGTCCCGAGTTCAGCACCGCTCGCCGACAGCTCCGGCCGGACAAATGGAGTTTACGGCTCGATCCTAGCCGATCGGTCGGGCCTCCCGGGCGGTCGTAGCCCCCTCCCGCCGACCCGATCCGGCCCTGCAGCCGATCGGTCGGGCTTGCCGGGCGGTCGCAGCCTCCTCCCGCCGGCCCGATCCGGCCCTGTAGCCGATCGGTCGGGTTTGCCGGGAGGTCGCAGCCTCCTTCCCGCCTGCCCGATCCCGCCCTGTAGCCGATCGGTCGGGTTTGCCGGGAGGTCGCAGCCTCCCTTCCGCCGGCCCGATCCCGCCCTGTAGCCGATCGGTCGGGCTTGCCGGGCGGTCGCAGCCTCCTACCGCCGGGCGAGCGGCGGCACTTCTGGCCGGCGCTTTTCACGTCCCATTGGCCGTCTCCGTGCTCATCAGGCGACGCTTCAAACAAACAAGGACCCATTTTCTGGCGGGCTGTAACGAGCGCCATTATGCATCAAGAGGGCGCCAGGCGTTCTCGGTCGTGCTCCATGCCTCTCAGACGGAGATCTAGCTAATCGGGGCGGGTGCGTTCCTCCTCGTCGTCAGGACCCGGAGCACAAAAACAAACAAAGCCGCTGAGCCGCGCTCAATGTGGCCCGATTGCCAAGGCCACGCGTCTGCTTGTTGATATGGAAAACCCGTCAAACCACTCTACGAGACGTCTTCTCGTGCTACAAATTGGGTGACAGATGAAAAACTTAGGGGTCGCTAGCTTTCTTTGGACCCGATCTTAATCTTAATTTAAGAGCTTTCTTTGGACCCCATCTTAATCTTAAGTTAAGAGCTTTCTTTGGACCCGATCTTAATCTTAATTTAAGAGCTTTCTTTGGACCTGATCTTAATCTTAATCTTAAGATCTTAAATCAACTTGCCAACTTTGTATTTCGTTAAACCGACGGCACTCACGTTCACATTACATCTACCTACTAGCTACTTGGCAAGCTCAGCAACGCCAGGTCCCTCCGGCTTGGCCTGCGGCCGCGGCCGCGGCGCCTGGGCCCGTACCGCTGCCGTGCTGACGTCGCGTCACGGCGTGTCGCTGTCGGCCCCGCTCGCCGTGCGGCGGCCGTACGCGGATGTGGCCGCCGTCCTCGCGCACCCACTTGATGGTCGGCGTCGGCACGCCGCGGGCCGCGCACGTCAACGTCACGTTCTCACGCGTGCGCACCGACACGGTGGATTTGGTGCTGTTCTCGTCGACGATGTGCGGTGGCTCTGTGGAGACGGGCAGCTGTTACTGCAGCTGTTTCTGCTACGCGGCTGGCACGGTAACACGGCTCCGCGGCGTGAACAGGGATGGCGACGTTCATGAGGCATGCTTGCATAGCATATCCGTTATCAGGCTGACAGGCGTTAAGCTTAGCGACCCATGTGCCGCTTCGCAGCCCGGAATGCGATGCACGGATGGGAACAGTGTGACATTGATAGCTGCCGCATGTATCAAAAGCATTCATACAAATTACTTTCGGTTTTTTGCTCCCTCAAGGCTGCCGCACTCTATTCGTCCGCTCTTCTATTTCGTGCGCGGACAGCTTCTAGTGAGAAACGAAGACCCCAGGGACACTGAAACGTTAACCTGGGCCCCACTTGCTATTACGAACTCTACCCTGGCCACCTGCCCAGCGAGTGTTAGGGCAAATAATCAGAATGTATCTTGTCAAATGTCCTTTTCCAGTTGACCGACTATTTTTTGTTGACGCGTCTTTTGGCGCCGTGTCAAGAAGACAAAATGTCAAAAGTTGAACGGCGCTTTGTGGACATGTCCTTTTTCACCGGCGTGTCATATTGATGAAATGGTAAGAAATGGAAATCACGCCTACTGAATGTCAATTTTCCGTACATATTCTTCAGTCCAATGCCAACTTGTTGCACTGCTCTTTAGTCGAATCCTATCTCCTTAAAGGTATTTTGGTCGAATGCTTATGTCCTGAAATGCCTTTAGTCGAATGCTAATAAGCCGAATGTTCCTGTGCCGAGTGCTCATGCGCCGCAATGTTGTTAATTGGTTAGATACAGGATCTGTTCAACTCTCGCCTCGTTTTTTTCAACAATTCGCCACATTTTTTCGCCGTCGGCTCGCGTGTGGAAGCCTCACGGATTTTTCCCTACACGTCTCGAAAAACAAGCAAGCTAGAACCACAAGAAAGACGAAATTGGAAAAATCTTGCCAAACTGTATCATATAAGGTGGCGAATAATGGCGAATGTGACTTTTGACAGGTTAACTCAGGTCGCCATTCTGCTGTCAAAAGATGTAAATATGCTGCAACAACTCCAAAAACGGTGTTGAATGGTTTTAAATCAGCTGGACGCTAGTAAACATCGACAGATTTGGCATGTCACGTCTCAGAGCAGGTCAAAGGGGTGAGGACCCGAGAGTCGGAATTCCTGGGATATTCGTGTGGTTCAGGAAATGTTCGTGGTGCCTGATAATCGTAGTACACAATTTTCTAACCTAATATCATGCATGGGTCATAATGACCTTCCGGTTAAGTTGCCTGTGTTTCGCGCGGCCCTTACCGTAGAACCGTGTATTGGCTGTTAGGATGTGGGAACTCGAGTCAATTGCCATTTCATCCCTCAGTGGCAGTGTCTGTGCAGACTCGACCACTTTCTGGACTCGCGTGTCGTAGTTTTCAACTATTTTCAACTAGATTTTTCGTCTAACTTTGCTCAAACATTGATACCCGTGATTATAAGTCGGGCTTGAAAGGTTGAGTGCTATCAATGCAACCAATGTTTGTACTATAATGTCACTTACCCAGTGCTTCCTGGTACATATATTGAAGGTCGATAACTGGGCATAAGAGCTCTGAACTCATGGTGCCGAAAAAAACAGCAGCTAATGATTGAAGGCCTTTCTTTCCTTTATAAAAAACTGAGTATGATAATTGGGCCTAGGTAGCAGCAGCGAACCAGTGAGAAGGCTTCTCGCATAAAATCTGCGATCTATCACTAATTTTCAGCAACCACATCCTGGTCTTTTCGCAAATGAGAAACGGATGAACGATTTTCACATGTGGTAGGCATACGAAGTGTGCGCGCACAATACGCATCCCAACGCACGCTCACTACCCAAAACGTACGCTACTGATCTTGATTCAAACTTAAACATAATCCCGGGTCTGTTTCACCGTAGGAATATATTACCCTGAGTTGCAGCATGCTATTCACTTTTGTAATGAGAACGACATAATTCCATTTCACCACCTGCCACATGTACATATTGATGACGGGCACACAGCGGCGCTTTGAAGTGGCATACAGATATCCCGCTTTTGGAATGGTATGACACCACGCTGGTCATAATCATTCCATTTAGTCAGCTGATCGCCGAGTGTATATGGTCACACAAGGTGAGCACGTTTACTGGGAGTCTTGAGTTTCTTGAAGAGTGGCCACTGTTCAAAACCCGAAAAGGTACTTGTTTGAAAAAAATATATGTATTTCCCTGTAAGCGTTTGAATTTTGGGCACTGAATTAGCACGCTGTTGCTACTGAGAAATTGGTTGAAGATGATGAGGGCAAAGAGCCCGGTCATGGCATGTCTAGGTTATGGCAACGACAATTGGCGACACAAAGTATTGCAGCAGCTTTGGCGAGTGGCAGCGACAAAATTAGGAAGATCTGGCATTCGCAATGACGGCAAGACCGATCTCTTAGAAGCTTTTGGAATGCGCTACAAAACTCCAGCCACAACGCGAATTTGAAGAGCAAGATTTTAAACTTGGGCAATCGCTGATTGTGTCTTAGTAATCAAACAATAAACGAATTACAGCGGAATTCCTCAAATGGTGCTTTTGAAAGACTTCTTCGTCCGCTATGACGTGCCTCATCAGCTTTGACGCATGACTTTATGGAACGAGATCCCTATGTGCGATGACGGTATTAATCTCAGGTTCTAATAAATGCTATGCTTAAATGTATTTAAGATTGCGTCTTGAAAAAGGTGAAATTGAGTTATTCTGGCATTCGCAACAATCAGCTCCCAGCACGCATTCCAAGAGGGAGGGAGAAAGGGCGACCGGTCAATGACCGATTTTGGCAAAGGATGTGAGCGGTTCATCTCATATTGCTGCAACAAACAAAAAAATTTCATGGCCCAAATACGTTCCGACTAGTATACACACCACTACCGGCAACCGTCAGATATCAGGTCAGTCAGAGGTCGGGTCGGACAGGAAATCCCATAAATGATGTAAAATGCATAAAAACTAATACAAAAAAAAATCATCTATGGAACGATCCAGGTACTTTCATGCGGCCACAAGGAGTTAGCTCCGTCGCTTAGCGATGAAAGCCTACAAGCACCTGTATTTGTTGTTTATCGATAGCACGACTTCCTAATGTGCACTGGTATTTGTTTAATACAAAACATCTTCATAGGTCAAATGGCTGAGTGAATGATGGAGGTGGTTGTAACAGTTTTGAGACATGTCGTGCGAATATCTATTATTCATATTTGATGGAATGCTACAACAGACATTTCACATACCTTTCACAAGTTTGAAGCTTCTCAACACGAAGGCAGAATGCCGCTGGCATTCGTTTGGATCCCATAATGGACTATCACCCCAGTTTTTTGTGCTGCATTGTGCTGTTATTTGGATGTAGGCAAACCGCGGTTGGAACCACCAGGTCATCGAATCCAAGTACGACCTTGAAGGTGACGAATCACCGAAGCCGATGAGGGTTGTCAAGAGTAAAACATGGCTGCCAAAAGCAAACGACCTGTCGCCCCGGCTGCAGTCGCCCATGTCACTCCACAATATTCCTGCTTACGCCACGGCTTCATCTAACAGTATCGTTAATAGCAGCCTATTTGAAACAATATACTAATCTCACAAGCATTCCAAGACAACGTAGCACAGACATTGCGCCAGAGTCATGAAAGCGTCCTCACCACTCACCGAGCACGTTCAGAAATCCGACCTGCGACATGAGGGGCACCGTGTTGACCTGGCACATGTAGTAGCCACCGTCGCTGCTCTGCACATCTGAGATGTGCAACACCCACGTTTGCGGGTCCTCCGGCACCAGCCGGAACCGTGAAATGCTGGTGATCACCTTGTCATGGATACTGAGGATCATCTGACGCTCCAGGTGGACCCAGGCCACCTGTTGGCAGAAGTGGACGCCGTCATGACTGTAACACCGCGGTGGACACTACGGCCATTATCACATAGCAGTGGACGCTGTGACGACTGTGACAACAGCGGGCACTTGACGATTTTCAGACAGCAACGGACACCAAGACGATTGTCGCACAGCTATTGGCAACGTGATTATTGTCACAACGCGGTCGATAGCGGGAGAGTTGTCACAAAGTGGTCTAAACTACGACGGCTGCAACACAGTGGCAGATGCTGCGACGACTGTGATCTACTGACGAACGCTGGGGCATTGTCACCCACCGGTGGACACCAGGAAAACTGTGACACAGTTATGGTCACTGTGGCGATTGTTAAGGAATGTAGGTACACATAGATGAACAATGTGCCAGCTAGTGAACAAAGGTGGGCAAGCCGACGTTGAAGGCATGACATGTTAAAAAGAACATTCCGCAAACGTAAATGATAACAAGTAACAGCAAACAAACAAAACCGTCACACAGAGCACTGTCTTGCCAAAGTTTTAAAAACAGGCTGCTGTACGTTTAAAAGTATCCAATGACAGGTTGGTTGTTCAGGTTCCATTCATGTGAAGGAATAAACGCTGAAACTCTCTGTCCCCACTGGTGCATGGCGGTGCAGTGCAGCAAATTTCAGTCGTTGGGGGATACAAGGCCGATGACGCGGGGCGGCCAAAGCGCAGACAGTTTGTCGAGCCTGCAGGGCAGACTTTGAAGGCTTTCAAAATGTTAGACGGACTGCACGCTGTCACTCTGTCAGACGAGCTGAAGGATGTCAGAATGTGGAACAGAATGGAGACTGTTACTCTGTGAGATGGACTGCAGGTTGTCAGTCTGTCAGACAGACTGAAGGCTAACAGGAAACCAAACGGACTGAAGGCTGTCAGAATGTACGGCGGACTGGACGATATCAGAATCTCAGATGTACCGCAGGCTGTTAGTCAATCAGACGGATTACAGGTTGTCAGCACGTCAGACAGATTACAGGCTGTTTGTCGGACAGTTCGAAGGGTGTCATAAGAGTTATTTATCCTGTGCATCACTGGCAAAACGGTTTTTGGTCGGGTTGCAACCACTGCCAACGTACGACGTCCAGCGCGTCTTATTTTTCTCTATACCCGTAGTTTTCTGTGTCCACCTTTTGATCTCTTCTAATTGGCGGGAAATCGCCGAAATTCATCGAGCCTCCTCGGCATTAGCGATGACCTCACCTGGAATTTTCACATCTAGGGACCGTTCAGTTTCTCCTTTTCAGGAGCAAATTTTGAGGCCCATATGTCATGATGCTCGGGTCAAATAAAGCCAAAGGAGCCCAAACTCCAGACCGGTGTGCAAAGTGCATGCAGATCTCCTCAAGCGACCGGCTTTAATCTGGACATACTTTCTAACTAAATAGAGCCGCTCATATAAGATCAGTGACGGCCCTGTCTTACGTTTAGAAGGTCAAAATAACCAAATGTTTTCGAGATCTTGTTTATATTTTAATTTAAAATCAAGATCAAGAGGCACGCTAAGGGCCGTGTTCGTCAAAACAAAAAAGTACTTGGGGGTAATGCTAGGTCAGCGCCCTTCCCTGACCTCTATAAAGTCAAAATAATATGTCTGTTCACGTCCATTTGGTCGAGAAGTTCAAAATTAGCGTTAGAAATTCCCCATGAAACGAACCTTCCAAAAAAGCGGCCAGATTTGTTCTTTAATCTGATCCTCAGATTACCCAATGTCAACGAAACTAGTCGTAATCTTAGCTTAACTTGCCCATTTGTCCACGAAACCCTATCCAGTTGAGTAACTTTGGCCCACACTCCGTTGTCTCATCAGATTAAGCGATTCCCTAGGAATTGCCTCCGCTGATGGCGGAGTGGATGATGGATGTCCTGACGTTTACCTTTAGGTCAGCGACTTTACAAAATCTCGTTTTATGTCGAAAGGGTAATTGCCTACATCTATACAAAATTTGACCCGGCTGCGCCGCACAATTCTGAAGTTTTTCTTGAAAACCGTTCGGAGGGCAGCTTGGTCCTCAGACACAAACTCAGTACAGCTTGGCCCGAGGGCACGTTAATCATT